AGGGATATGAATTGGTTTACGGTTGGCATGCTTATTTATTATATGATAAGAAAGTGGATAAGACTTAAAAGTCACATATTAAGCAATGCTTTATTGCGTATCTGGAAAAAGTATCAGTATAAATTAAACGATAAATTACCAATGTGGGCAATACCCAGACACGCGATAGAGAATATAAGTGTAGAGCAAAAACAAGATGTGACTACTTATAAAGAGCTTCTTAATAAGGAAAGAGGTATACTACAACTAAAATCTTTGAATCAATTAAGAGAAGAAAGGATAATTCAAACATGGTTTCAGTATGGACAGCTGCAAGCTAGATGGAGAGAAGATCAGAAAATTGGTATCTTGCAAAATGAGGAGAACTTGGTAAAACAAATTAGAGACCAAAGTCGAATGCATATAAAAAGGTTGTATAATGCATTGGTAGAAATAGATTCAGAAACAGAGCTAGTTAAGGATTGTATGATAAAATGGGCACAAAATATTGAAGAACCAATAATGATGGAAACGTGGGAAAAAATATGGGTTAGAAATGTAAAGTTTATGCAAGCCCAAAACTTAAGAGAGAATTTTTATAAAATGTTTTATAGATGGCATCTAGATGCTAAAAAGCTAGCCTGTATGTATCCAAGTTTGCAACCTAAGTGTTGGAGATGTGAATGTGATGATGCCACATATTATCATATATGGTGGACATGTAAAAAAATTAAAGCATTTTGGATAAAAATATGGTGGATTATCCAAAACATTATTTTTTTAATTATGTTTTGTTAGTTGAAAGGGGAGTTAAAGAGCAAGAGGGAGTTTGGAGCCTACAGAAAGTTGGCATATTTTAGTTTATGTTTGTTAAATGTTATACCCTGTATTTGCTCTGGGAAGTCTGGGGTGGGGGATGGGGGGTTGGAGGGAGAGGGGGGGTGAGGGATGGGGGGGGGGAGGAGGGCTGGGGGGGTAGGTGGAGGAGGGATGAGGGGGAGGGATGGGAAAAATTGTTGTAATACTTGATAAAACTTTTTAATAGAATAAATAAATAAATAAATCAGGCATCCTCAAACTATGGCCCCGAGGAGACAAGAGTTTGAAGGGGGGCAATCTAGCATCCGGGCTGACTACAAGAGAAATGTTCACTCTTGGTCGTATTTGAGATTTCTAGCTGCAATGAACAGCAAAGCTAGGGTTGATCCCAAGTGCTTCTCTCTGCTAACAGGCGGCCAAGCTAACTGCCCAAAGGACCCCGTCCTGTCCCTGGGAGTCAAAGCGTTGAAGCGCGAGTGGTGCAGGAAACTTTGGCCAGGTTCCTCGAGATGAGAGTTTCCAGGGGGCTGATCTAGTGTCCGCAATGGACAGCAAAGCTAGGGTTGACTCCAGCTGCTTTTCTCTGCTGTAGTGCAGAGGGTTCTCTTTGTAGACTTTAATTCAGCATTCAATACCATCATTCCAGACACACTTCTAACTAAGCTAAACCAGCTATAGGTACCTGAACACACTAGTAAGTGGATCATAAGCTTCGTACCAAACAGGAAGCAGTAAGTGAAGCTAAGCAGAATCACATCAGATACCTGTACAATTAGCACAGCCCCCCCCCCAAGGCTGTGTGTTCTCCCCACTTCTCTTCTCTCTGTATACCAATGACTACATCTCTAACAATCCATCTGTTAAACTACTGAAGTTCACAGATGACATAACAGTGATCGGTCTCATTCGAGACAATAATGAATCCGCATACAGACGGGAGGTTGAACAACTAGCCTCGTGGTGCGACCGGAACAATCTGGAACTGAACACATTCAAAACCGTAGAAATGGTGGTAGACTTTAGGAGAAACCCTTCCATACTTCCACCTCTCACAATACTAGACAACACAGTATCAACAGTAGAAACCTTCAAATTTCTAGCTTCTACCATACCGCAAGATCTAAAATGGACACCTAACATCAAAAATGTCATCAAAAAAACACAACAAAGAATGTTCTTTCTGTGCCAACTTAGGAAGCTCAAACTGCCCAAGGAACTGCTGATACAGTTCTACAGAGGAATTATTGAGTCTGTCATCTGCACCTCCATAACTGTCTGGTTTGGTTCTGCAACCCAACAAGACAGACACAGACTTCAGAGGATAATTAGAATTGCAGAAAAAACAATTACTACCAATCTGCCTTCCATTAAGGACCTGTATACTGCACGAGTCAAAAAGAGGGCTGTGAAAATATTTACAGACCGCTCGCATCCTGGATATAAACTGTTTCAACTCCTACCCTTAAAACGACGCTATAGAGCACTGCACACCAGAACAACTAGATACAAGAACAGTTTTTCCCCCGAACACCATCACTCTGCTAAACAAATAATTCCCTCAACACTGTCAAACTAGTTACTAAGTCTGCATTACTATTAATCTTCTCATCGTTCCTACCATCCATCTCCTCCCACTTATGACTGTATGACTGTAACCTTGTTGCTGGTATTCTTACGATTTATATTGATATTGTTTCCTGATTGTTTATTTGTACCCTATGACTATCATTAAGTGTTGTACCTTATGATTGTTGATGAACGTATCTTTTCTTTTATGTACACTGAGAGCATATGCACCAAGACAAATTACTTGTGTGTCCAATGACACTTGGCCAATAACAAATTCCATTCCATTCCATTCTTCATTTCAATATTCTATTCTATTCTATTCTATTCTATTCTATTCTATTCTATTCTATCTATTCTATTCTATTCTATTCTATTCTATTCTATTCTATTCTATTCTATTCTATTCTATTCTATTCTATTCCCATCCCATTCTATTATTATTTTTTTTATTGAAAAAGTTTTACAAACATCAATTTTCCCCCATTTTTCCCCTCCCCATCCCTCCCTTAACCCCCCAAGCCCTCCCCACCCCCCATGACTTCCCCAAGGTGAAATCCATCCGCATTTATTATATCAGAGTTTACCACCCCTCTATTCTCCCCCCTGTGTACTATACAATTCTTCATAACAATAAGCTATTTTGCCCCCTATAAACTATACATTTCTACACAACATTTAGCTAAAAGCTATATGGTACTTCCTAGTTTGATATTTATTCTGCACATAATCTATCCATTTCTTCCACTCCCATGCATAGGTCTCTTGAGTCCGATCTTTTAAGTATGCTGATATCTTCGCCATTTCTGCAAAACTGGCCATCTTCAAAGTCTATTCTTGAATTGTAGGCATATCATCCCTTTTCCAATATTGACCAATCAATAACCTAGCTGCTGTCACCATATACAATATCAATTTTGTTTCCCCCACTGAAAAACCCTTAACTATACCCAGTAAAAACAATTGAGGAGAAAATTGAATTTTTTTCTTCAAGACACTTTGCATAACCCACCAAATTTTTATCCAAAAAGCCTTTGCTTTCTTGCATGTCCATCATATATGATAATATGTAGCATCTAAGCAATCACATCTCCAACATTTCGGTTGAACATTAGGATACATGCATGACAGTTTCTTAGGATCTAAATGCTACCTATAAAACATTTTATAAAAATTTTCCCTCAAATTCTGCGACTGTGTAAATTTAACATTCTGAACCCATATTTTTCCCAAGTTTCCATCATAACTGGTTCTCCAAAATTTTGTGCCCATTTTATCATACAATCTTTAACCAATTCATTTTCTGAATCTCTTTCTAACAAAACATTATAAACCCTCTTAATATGCATTGGGCCTTTCTCTTTTATGTCTAACCAATTCTTCTTCATGCAACATTAATCCAATTTTTTGATCTTCTCTCCATCTCAGTTGAAGTTGATTATACTGTAACCACGTTAAATTAATCCCTTCTTCCAACAGGGTGTTTAATGACTTCAATTGCCATCTGCCCCCATCATTAAAAAGTACTTCTTTGTATAAACCCCCCCCCCGAGTGACTTTGTATTTATATTCCATATAATATGACCAAGATCCAACCACAACGGTATTTTATAATCCCATTTGAGTCGGTGCTTCTTCCATACTCTCATCAAGGAGCTTCTAAGTATATAGCTGTTGAATACTTTATCCACCTTGTTTTCATAAAATAAATATGCATGCCAACCAAATTCAAGATCATAACTTTCTATATTCAATATTCCAGTCTTTGTCCTTCCAAACCAGTCACTTGCTTGTGTAAACGCTGCAGTTTCATAATACAATCGCAGGTTTGGAAGTTTAAGACCACCCCTTTCACGAACATCTTGCATAATTTTCAGTTTAACTCTTGGCTTTTTCTCATTCCAAACTATTCTTATTATTATTAAATTCCCATTCCCATTCCATTCTGGGGCTCCATTTCAGCCTGCAACGGGCCGGCCAAGGCCTGCAGAGGGCCGAACGGAGCGTCAGAGGGGTGGATTCCCCTTCATAAGCTCCATTTTGGCCAGCAACCTGCCGGGAGAGGCCTGCAGAGGCACGAACAGAACTGCAGAGGACTGCACGCGGCTGAGAGGCTGGAGGAGGAGACTGCTTGCTAGATCTTCAGAAGGTAAGTGACCTGGCGCGGCAGGTTGGGGGGGGGAGCAATTGTGGGGAGCACAAGGTACTTCAGTGGGTTGGGGAGGCCTTGAGTGGTCTTAGGCAGGTGGCCTGTTCCATCAGTAGGCCCCCCATGGCCTTCCCCACCCTGAAATACCTCATGTGCACTTAACAAACCTTGTATTCGATTAGCAAATGCGTGGGTGAAAGGAGTGATCCAGTTCAAGGTACATTCACTCCCATGAATCCTTGTGTTGCGAACGGAATGGGCAGGCTCCATTACATTCGTAACTCAAGGACTACCTGTACTGAACTATAAAGGCCATAATCTCCAATGGGGCTAAACTAGACAACATTAGGTAACATTTAGTGCAAAACCTGCTTAATATATTTTAACTTCTAAGTTTTGTTAAAAAAATGTGAAAAGATAATTTGACCTATTATTTATCTAGCTTCATAACAAATAGCAAAAATTATAAAACACAATCATTACTTACATCTATATTTATCTTCCAGATGTGCTTTACACAGTGAAATTATACCAGTTTTGAAAGACAGGACTCGGATCCTTCCAGTTCGACCCCTGTTGATATTAAATAAACAAATAAGCAATAATGTAGAAGCAAATAATAATACCTATATCTAAGTTTATTAAAATTCCAGAAATAAAAATGAATTTCCAGTTCTAGCACAAAACAAAATAAAAAAGATCAAAGGAATACCAGTAGTTTTTATTGGAGTAGTATATACCATGCTTCCCTGAAAAAAAGACCAGTCTTTTCTTTTCAGTCCCAAAATAAGTAATTCTTATTTTGGGGGGATGTCTTAACCACTTACCTTAGACCACGGCAGTCACGTCTCCCATGCCCCGACACCTGTGGCGCTGTTGCCCAATTTCTTCTGTGGCCACTTGCAGCAGGGCACCATGTGGCCCATTGTCTCGGTGCCGCTGTTTGCGGCAGGCTGCAAGGATCACCGTGCAGATGCTACCACTCAGGGCAGGACATTGCGTGGCTTGTCACAGTGGTGCCACCGTTCACAGGACTCCATGAGGCTCATAGCGCCAGTGCCGCTTCTGTGTGGCTGTGTGGTGCCTTGTGATATTGCACATTTGAGTGGTGGCATCAGTGTGATGTGCTAGATGGCGTCCTGCCGCAAGCGACGGCATCCACACAATGAGCCACATGGCATCCTGCCATGAGTGGCATCATTGGCAAAATGATCCACGCAGCATCCTGCTGCAAGCAGTGGCACAACACATATGGCATCCTGCCACAAGCAGTGGCACCGGTGTAATGATCCACGCACATCCTGCGTGACTGGCAGCACCCGCATGAGCCTCACGGCCTCCTGCCACAAGCAGCAGCACCAGCACAATAAGTCACGTGGCATCCTGCCAAGCACTGGCGCAACGAGCCTTGTGGCATTCTGCCATGAGAGGCAGCACTTGTGCTGTGAGCCAGAAAAAGTTGGACAACAGTGCAACAGGTGTCTGCACGTGAGAGGCCCAGCTGTGGCAATCCTAAAGTAAGTGGGCGTGGGATGTGTTGGGCACCTCCACCTCCCACCCCAGCTTGATTTTTATGCCTGCGCCTCCCTCCACCTCGTACAACCAATGGTGGCAGGGCTTAACTAGGACTTATTTTGGGAGTAGGGCTTATATTAGGCGCAGACTAGGGCTTGTTTTCAGAGTGGGTTGTATTTTCAGGGAAGCCCGGTACAACATACTAGATGTAAAGTAATTATGTTCATACAATTTTATAATAATTTGTATGCTGAGTTATAAGCATTTTCCTAAATCATAAATATAATTCATTTCCAACTCTGAATAGTAATTCTGCATATACAACTAAGACTTGTATATATACTTAGTTAATGAGAAGTAGCTTACTGTGAAATGTAATTAAGTTACATTTTGGCACCCAAAAGATTTAATGATTTTATTAGTTTTTTTTTTTTTTAATTTGATTTATATGCCGCCCTTCTCCAGAGACTCAGGGAGGTTTACAATGTGCTCAGCAATAGTATATGAATAACTATTAAAATAGAAAACAATTAACAAGGATTAAGTTCTAATTCTAGGGTCATACAGAACTTCAAAATTAAATGGTGTAATTAATTTATTTTGTTGTTTTTAAGTTTAAAATTAAGATTGGTAACTTTCAGCAACTCTTTGTGAATTTCAAAATAATGCCAAATTTTCTCCCATAGAAACAACTACCAGTTGTTATTTTGTTTAAAAAATGACAATCAACTTATTACAATCAACTGATAAAAGAAAACTACAGCAACCTACGTGTCATAGACATTCAAAAGCCAGTTGAGGCACATATCTACACATAGAGGGACATTGACTAGGTTATTGTGCTCTTGTTCCAATTTATCATAAATGGTAGTTAAGCAGTTAATGATCTGAAGTATATCAACTGGTTGATCATTCTGTTTGAAGTTGTGCTGGTCCAAGGCGTCACATGCAGCAGACAGATTCAAAAGATCCACTGTAATGACAAAGAAATAAAAAACTAATATGAAACATCTCTGATAAAATAATCACATCATTTAAACTCAGAAACAGTTGAACTGTTGAATTCAACAATTAAAATATAAATACGTTAAATTGAAGATACAAATTTAAAATTTATTTTTAGTATTTTCTACCTATTAATGTCTTTTTTCTAAGCAAATGAACTCAGATTTTGTAGCATAATTGCAGTTACTAGTTTAAAAGCTGTTTCTTGTTCAGCAAAGATTTAACAGTCACCTTCCTGGGATCAAGAAAAGACACTACCTCTAATATAGAATTTATTAGTCAATTGGAAATACTGTCAGCTCCAGCGTGCCAGCCAGCTCAGAGCTGCTATTCAGAGGGGACGCAGCCACCACTCTCCCTGGCCGTCCTGAAACATCCTAGATGACTGGCCAGGAAGGGTCCTCCTGTAAAGGCTGACTGTCAGTAAAGGCTGACTGACAGCGGAGGAAGAGGAAAAGAAAGTCCTCCTTAAAAACTTACTGGCAGCAGAGGAGGAGGAAAAGAAAGGTTGGACTTAAAGCGGATGCTGGCTTCTTCACATGTGTTATCCCCTGCTCATTTCAGGGTCACGTGGAAGGGAGCAGCGCGAATGAGTGGGTGGGTGGGTGGATGGTGCTTATAGTTTAAAGGGTGGTGGGGAGCACGGGTGGTTAGCCCTAATAAGAAGTTCCTTTTGTGATTGTCAATGCATGCCAAAAAAGAAGTAAAGCAGGCAGCAACAAACCAGGTTTGTGTTTGGCTGTGTTTCTTTCTTTTTCCTTTTGTTTGGAACCTGACAGATTTGTTAGGGCTCTTATAAATACCTATGGCCGAAGACACGGTGCCAGGGTTGGAGGCAGCTGACCTTGAGGAGTCAGTAAACCCCACGGAAGCTACCGTGCTAGAGGCCTCAACTGCTCCATCAGAGGAGGCCATTGCAGATGTCAGACCAAAGGAACGGCCAGGGTGGCAGAAGCCTCTGGAAGGCCAGCTGCAGGCAGCAGAGATTGAGCAATGTGAACCAAGGGATTGGTGGCTGAGCAATGCCAGGACTGTGGACTTTCGAGCCCTTCCACCCCAGAGTCCACTGCTCACCCCCTTGGGGGCGCATTTCACTCAATGGCAAGAGCAGTGGATCTCTGAGGACAACAATTGAAGTTATTCCATAGTAGTGGGAAACCAAACCATTGAGGTGTTACAAGAGATGTATGGGGCGGCTGGCTTTAGAGAGTAGGGCTGTGGTAATGTCTGGCAGAGGCCAGGGGTGGGACCATCCCCCTCTCCTGGGCCCCCAGATCCGGAGGGATGTTCTTGCCAAATTTAGACTGCCAGGCACTGGACAGCCATATGAAACCCAGGGGGGCCTGGGTGGGGTGGCCCAGAAGAAAACCCCAGAGGCAACAAGAGCAACCAGGTTCTCCTATGAGCAGCAGAGTGGTGGTGAGATGCTGCAAGGATATGAGGACTGGACACCCACTCTCCCGGTTGGCCCACCAGCAAGCCAAGGCCCCACCACTGTGGCACGATGGGACCCACCGGCAGCGAGGATGTCATTCAATGGAAGCCCCGAGAAAGTGGCCCTGTTTCTCGGGCAAGTACTGAATCATTTTGATCGCTATGGCTGGTTATACACGTCCCACTGGGACATGGTCATGGCGGTAGGGGCAGTCATGGATGGAGAGGCCACCGAGTGGGTGGCCAATTTGTATGGCGACCATGCCACCGAACTAGGGGACATGGACTTTTTCCTGTCTGCCCTCCAGGAAAGATTTGAGGACAACACCAGGGCCCAGCAGCCTGAGGGGGACCTGTTGAAGGTGAAGCAAAGAGGGAGGCCCGTCTTGGAATATATCAAGAGAGTTTAGGAGGCTAGTGGGAAAGATATGTTGGTGGCCTGAGCGGCTGATGGTGTACAGGTTCAAGGTCGGGCTTGATTAGATGCTGGTTCCAGGCTGTGACAGAATAAGACATCGAGTTTCAGGACACAAGGCAGAAGAAGGAGTGAAATCCTCGAGGCCAACGTCCACCACCCCACCCATCCAGCCATGTCCCAGCAGCCCGCCCTTCCTGGAGAGGGCTCCACCTGCAAGGCTGGCTATGACATGCTTCCGTTGTGATCGACCGGGACACAGAGCTGCAGCATGCACCAACGAAGATCCCAAGACATCACTGGGTCCTACCAGCACGAAACGGGGGGCCATCCAAAAAACCATCCGAGCCACACCAGAGAAGTCCATGGGACACGCCAGAGGGTCCAGGCCCAGTCAACCCCAGTGGAGGAGATCTCTGCTCCCGTCGACAGCACCGACACAAGCGAGAGTGACGAGGAGGCCGACCCGATGGTTCGTATGAACATAAAATCCTTTGTTGTGCCAGTGGTATTGGAGGCCAGCAGGCGTCAGAGGTGCACCGCCCTCATTGACTTCAGGTGTACCTGGTGCCTCATGGGTGTGGCGGTTGCTTCTGACCTGGGTGTAAGCCTACACAGGTTAGCTCAACCGATTTGGTTTGAGCAGATGAACGGGTCGTTATTGGGAGGCTAACCAGTAACGCACATCACCGGAAAAGTAGCGATGGAGCTAGGCCAGCATAGGGAAACGTGGTTTGTAGTGGTCCCTCGGATAACCAAGGAGATTGTCCTGGGGCTAGCCTAGTTGAACAAATGGGACCCTACTATATGGCGGAGGGGTGGTTGCCCACACTTAAGAATAGGGATGGGGCTGATCCATCACCCCATGAGAACCTACCCCATGCTCCAGAGGCCGTTTGCAAAAAGGGGAGTGGTACCCAGTGCAAAGCAGAGGAGGAGCTAAGGAATACACTGACCTAAGGGATGTCTTTAGTGAGAGGGAGCGTGATGTCTTACCACCTCACCGTCCCACTGATTGTGGAATAGAAATCATCCCCGGGGCCTTGTTACTGAAACAAAAATGTATTCAATGACTCCCCAGGAACTGGCCGAGATGAGAGCCTATATTGAGAAAAATCTCAAGAGAGGTTTCATTCAGCCCACAAGGTCCCGGGTGGCGGCACCCATTTTGTTTCGAGGGAAAAAAGGATGGCGGGTTGTGTTTGTATGTTGATTTTAGAAAAATCAATGTAGTCTCTGTGAAACATCTGTACCCCCTCCCTCTGCTAAAAGACATGATGGCCCAGATGTTGGAAGGGCAGTATTTCACCAAATTAGACCTCCGGGAGCCCTATTATAGGTTCACGATTAGGGCCAAGGACGAGTGGAAGACAACATTTAACTGTCCACTAGGTTGTTATCAATTCTGGGTGATGCCATTTGGGCTGCAGGGCGCACCAGCAGTGTTCATACAGCTCATCCATGAGGTGCTGCATGAACACTTGTATGAGGGGGTGCTCGTCTATTTAGATGACATCCTCATATACGCCCGAACAATAGAAGAACATGTCCAGCTGGTGCAACAAGTGCTCCGCAAGCTGTTGAATGCACACTTGTATGTCGAGCTCTCCAAGTGCAAGTTCCATAAGACAACCTTGGACTACCTTGGGTTCAGGATCTCACCAAAGGGCATGGAAATGGATCCCACAAAGGTCAAAGTGGTATTAGACTGGCAAGCCCCCAAAACACAAAAACAGCTGCAAAGCTTTTTGGGATTTGCTAAATTTAATCACCAGCTTATACTGTACTTTGCCCAAGTGGCACTTCTGCTGACCAGTTAGTTAAGAATTAAGCACTTAAATAGAAAACCATGTACGGGGTGTCCAATCCAGTGGATAACCGATTGTCAATGGGCCTTTGAGCAGTTAAAGTCCGTTTGCGAAGGAACCAGTGCTAAAGCACCCAGACCCGTCAAACCCATTCATAGTGCAGGCGGATGCCAGCAAGGTGGCAGTGAATGCAGTGTTCCTCCAGGTCAACGAGGAGGGGGCCCTCCAACCATGTGCGTACACATCACGAAAGTTGAATGACACTGAATGCAATTGGCCCATCTGGGAGAAGGAGGTGTTTGCAGTTTGGTGGGCTCTGTTGATGTGGTGGCACTTGTTGGAGGGGGTAGTATCCCCTTTGGACAGACCTGGACAAACCACAAGAATTTAGAGGCTCTCCAATCCCCACGTAGACTATCCCCAAAACAGGTACGATGGGCGCTGTATTTCCGGAGGTTCAACTTCCGGTTGAAATACATCCTAGGGAGGATCCAGATGTACGGGAATGGATGGCCCGAGTGCAGCAAATGTGAAAGGTGGTTATGGATGCTTTGCGGCACACAACCAAAAAGTGTAAGCAGCAGGCTGATAAAACCCAGAGGCCTCAGGTCCCTTTCTACATGGGTCCACAGGTATTCCTGTCCACCAAATACCTGAACCAGCGCCTCCCATGTAAGAAGCTGGGTCCTAAGTACATTGGGCCTTTTCCAGTGGTACGGGTGATTAACCCCATTTTGGTGCAGCTCCAGCTACCCTGTCTGCTGGGGAAAACACATCCTGTCTTCCACTGCAGTCTCCTTCACCCGGCCTGCTAGTCCCCCCTCAGGGAGCCACTCCCTCTGCCTCTCCTGCCACTCATGTTGGATGGTGAACAGAATTTGAAGTAGTAAAGATACTGGTCACCCAATGGCACAGGGGAAAGCTGCAGTACCTTCTTCTGTGAAAGGGATATCCCCTCTCTGAGGCCTCATGGGTACCTGAAAGAGACGTATGAGCCCCTCGGCTGGTCGCTAGGTTGCACCGGAAGCATCCAGGGAAACCGGGGGGACGGCGTCCCCACCACCCTCTACTTATCGTGTTCTTTCCATTACAGATGCTGTCTCCGTGGTAGAGGGGGCCCGTGTGTCAGTTCCGGCATACCAGCCGGCCCAGAGCTGCCATTCAGAGGGGAGGCCGCCACCGCTCTCCCTGGCCATCCTGAAATGTCCTAGATGACTGGCCAGGAAAGGTCCTCCTGTAAAGTCTGATTGACAGCAGAGGAAAAGGACCAGTCCTCCTTAAAAACTTACTGGCAGCAGAGGAGGAGGAATA